TGATTGAGATTATAAAACCCCTTAGTAAAAATGTTTATTGATGTAATTAATCAATTGAGGCTTTTTTTCTCCATAGTTTTCAAACCAATCCGCCTGCTGTTTTTAACCAGAGCAGCCGCCCCCTGGTGGCCATCAGAAACACTGCAGATTTAAGGCACTTCCACAGTAACTTGATTTTTCCAATCAGAAGACTACTTATTTTTAGTATAGTCCTTTATCTATTGTGACAAATCAAAATGTCTGGTGTGAAAAAGGTATAAGGTGTAAGGTCTTTCCTAATTGTGGGCATTTTATAATAAAAAAACATATTTATGTAACAATAAGTTCCTGAAATCATATTTTACACAAATGACTGAGCTTTATTAATAAAATAATAATGTATTATATTTGTTACAGTTTGCATTTTAACAAAATATCAGGTGTTCCTCTTGCCTCCATCTAATATTAGATACAGAATGAGTCATGCAGAATGTAGCGCCCTTGAAACATAAGACACGTGTACCATGTAAACCATAGCAGACATTTCCTCGCAACTGCAGAAATAACACACCCTGAAAATAACGGCGGAAAAGACGACTCTTTAAAACCAGAGAATTGAATGCATCCAACGGAATGAGAGTCTGTTTAATCTCACTCAAGATGCACCATAAAAGCAGTGGAATACAGTTAAGTGGTGGTGTAGTACCACCAAGCACCATATAAGAGCATGTGTCTAGATGCTGCTGTAAACAGTGGAAATTTGCAAAAGTGTGCAGACACGCATGTTTATGGCTCACACTTACAAACAGAATAGGCTGCACAATTTACAACCTGGCTGGGATAGTTTACACTTCCAAGCAACGTGGAGGTGTTCATGCAGCCCTCATGCTGTATTTAATATAAATCAAACATTGACAAAGGAGGTGGGGTGAAACCCATTAAGAACAGCTTCCTCAGTAGAGTCGCTGTTGTACTTCTCCCTGATATCGTTTGGTTTCTGCAGAAGAATGAGGTTTTGCACAATCACAAGTTAGTATCTGACAGAGTGCATGAATGCAGAAAAGCTTGTGTGAATTATGCAGAAGCTTACAGTTAGTGTAAAGAGTCCAAGTGACACATAACAGTTATACACACTTCAGGAGAAAGTGATGTCTGTTTGAAAATGCCCAACAGTTGCGTTATTTTCCACATCACTCTTGCACAAAGTATTCTCTTTCAAAACAAGCACAGCACACACTCTCGAAGATGAAAACCTTAATGCATGCATCAAATCGGTCCTGCTTGGCACGACTTGCTGTCTTGTCATCTAACAACGTGGTTATCAGCAAAAAAGAACTCTGACTGCAGACATACTTTTCTAGATAAATATCCTTTTTAAAACCACTTCACCAACTGAATTGCAAACCATCTTAAATACAGTGTGTTGTGAATGTGAGGATGTGAACTGAGAGACACAGTGGACACAGATTAATAATACTGCGGCATTTACAGACCTTAAATGTAGGGATTTTGTACTTGGAGAGCCAGGAATGATGTGCGTGACATGAGATCCTTCTGATGTACGAGATCTTTAAACAGATTGTGTGTGTGTGTGTGTGTGTGTGTGTGTGTGTCTTTGACCTGTTAACGACATGTCTCTACTCCCTGGTGGTTTGTTATCACTAATATGAGAAGACTCGTTCTATGTGGGAGTCCTGCACTGAGCTCAGAGCAGATCTGGGAAGAGGGATTCCAGTGCCTCTTGGACTTGTCCATATATAGAACTGGCCTGTTTTCACCCAGTATGCAGCACATGAAACAGCGATCACCCCGAGGATGCTCTGCGTCAACACCAGTGTCCTCTCTGTGCTGACATGACAGACAGAAGAGGTACACTTCAAATCACTTTATTTCCAGAGCCATAGGTCCAGGGCAAAAAACAATGGAAAAATATCTTTAAATAAGTGCGATCAGCGGTGCAAATGATTCGACAAACATCACAGATTTTAAAGTCCTCCGTTGGGATGTCAAACAGAACTGACTTCCAACACCATATGGTGCAGCGTACATCAGACCCATGCGCTCTGCTGCATCCCTTGAATCTTTTCCAGCACTTTACTTTATACTGTTTTTTTCCAGTTTTGTTCTGACGATTAAATTACAGCTTCTGTATTTCTAGGAAAGGAAATCGCTGAGTGGGGATGTCATCATGGTCGCGGCTGTCTAAACACAGGAAAAACAAGCAAACACGATGATTCTTTGGTTCACAGCTTTGAGGATTCCTCTCCCTGTGCATTTCACTCTGTGTGCACTGTTTACTACTTTGAAAATATGAATGAAACATCCTGCATTTTTGTTTATTACATTGTCTTTCATATTTTAGTATTGGGACTCTATTACAGCCATAGAACTAGCTAATCTACTCTTTTAAGGAAAATCAACCCAAGAATTGGTGAAAGCAGTCCCTCTGCTGCTAGCACAGCCCAAAGCTTAACTCTCTAACACATATCCTTTTGTAGACTGTCTATCTAAATGAAAACTGCTTTGTTTTGGTCATTATCTTTGACATCTGTAAGTCAGACTGATTTCAATGAAGGGAGACATCTTTAAAGCAAACTTTATTTTCTATAATAAAAACGCATTACATGCTGCAAGGTGGATCGGTGGTTAGCACCGTCGCCTCGCAGCAAGAAGGTCGCAGGTTCACAACCCAGTGGGGGCACTGGGATCTTTCTGCGTGTTCTCCCCGTGCAGCGTGCGTTGTCTGGCCTTTTCCCACAAGTCCAAAAACATGTTGAGGTTAATTGGTGATTCTAGATTGTCCGTAGGTGTGAATGTGAGTGTGCTTGGTTGTCTGTCTCTAAGTGTAGCCCTGTGATAGACTGGTGATCTGTCCAGGGTGTCCCCTGCCTTCACCCTAAGTCAGCTGGGATAGACTCCAGCCCCCCATGACCCTAGTGAGGATTAAGCGGTGTATAGATAATGGATGGATGGATGGATGCTTATGTGTAATATGAAAATGAACTCACAGAGAATTATCATTCAACTGTGCAGTTTGTCTCACCTTTGCAGAGTATTTTAGTATAACATCTTTGGTTTTGGGTTTTCTCTCCCTGCACTCATCTAACTTATTTCCAAAAGCAGGCAGCTGTTTTCACCAAAAATCCACCCACTGTACACCACCTGCACAGCACCAATACAATACAAGCTTTTAAAATAAAACACATTGTTAAAGATGAAACCTTTTTGGCTTCTTACAAAAACCAACGTGCCATCAGGGTGACTTTTCAGATGTCTATGAATTGTTAACAGCTCCACCAATTTATTGAGTGGTCCAACATCTAGTATCTGATATCTTGTAAGTAATAGCAGTCGGTGGAAAGTAGCTTTTTTATATAAAGCTGATTCAAAGTTTCTCAGTTGTGATGTTCTTTTAAAGTAGTTACAGACTTTTTCAACCCTAAACCTTTAATCAATAATATGCAAATTAAATTTACGGTGAGTGAAAACTGGAAGTGAACTGAATGTCTGTATTTGACTTACAAGTAGGACACTAATGATGCATAAATTAGCATTTTAAACTCCTCCCATAGGTGTCAAATAATTCAGTCTATGAATGTAGACCTAACCACCCGACCATCTTTCTTTTCCTCGGCTTTTATCCTTGACTGAGAGAAAGGTGTGCACAGCTACAGCACAACACACATAAAGTGCAGATGGAGCACAGCAGACAAAAACCAAGATGACACTGATTTCATTTGTGCAGAGCCATGGCCTCCAAAAACATTCATCATCCACCCTTTTACCAAAACCTTGACCTTTTCTCTATGTTTTGCTCTCCTTTGTCCTCTATTACACCATCTAGCACCAGACAGAACCATGCAAGTGCCCGCTGCTGTCATTTATAACCTTTTGCACAGATTCTACCCACTTCAAATAACTGCAATGTCAAGGTAGAAGAAAATCATGCGTTAAACAATTCATTTCCTGTTTTGATCCAAATATAGCAATGCAAAAATTCAGTATATGCCCTATATGTACTACAAACAGCATGCAATCAAATTATACACACAAAGCGACAAATTTGTTAAAACAGCCTGAAGACTAGGGGGTGCAAGGAAAAGCTTTGATCTGGATTAAGCCACACAGGCATCAATGACTTGACAGCCCATCCTAAATAACAAAACATTAGCATGGAGCATAAAAGGCAGCAGTCTAATAAGAGTATAAAACATAGAAATTAACACAAAACTGCAAGGACAGATGGTTCAAGATTCTCCATGAATGCCAAACACCACAGCCATAAATAAGTAAATAAATGCACACACAGCCAGCAGATCAAATATTTACACCACATACAATGTACAAAGAAGTGATTACTTCTAAGGTGAACGGTAGGGTGTTTGCTGTTATGCTGAATTAAAAACTAACAGATTTACTGTATTAAAAACTGGATTTTTCTAAGGGTTATTGTGCAAAAGTAGGTGTGTGTGCACACACAAGCACACACGATGAGTAATGAGCCAGTAGACACTGGTGGCTGTGAGTGACCTTGGTCACACCTCAGGAGTAAAATCACAGCCAAGGTCACAGCAGACAAAATAAAATAAAAAAATAAAAAACAACCCGACTCATCCAACAGCCAGTCGTCTTCTCTCACCGGGTGACTTTAATTATCTTAATGAATCACAGAGTGTTGCATGCAAATTCCTTTTTTTTTTATAAATACGCATTTGCATAACTCTGTTTGAACTGCACGTTATAACACTTGTGGGCAAAAGGTAACAGTTCAAATTCCAACCATATCTGACACCTGGAGGGAAAAAACCAGTGGCAGCAACAATGCTTTGTCACTTTACATTTCATCCAATCGGAGGCCACCTTGCCACTGGCAGCAGGTAACAGTGGCAGATAGCTGTCTACTGACACCTACTGCCAGAATTTAATATCACACCACACTGCAAGAACAACACTTTTCATGCCTTGCAATATGCTAACTGTGACCTAAAACTTCATAATACAAGCTGAGAAATCATACTCACCCCTCCCATTGTTATGCCATCAATAAGGGCAATATACGGCTTCCTGTACGTTCCTTGGAAGATGAAACAACACGTGTAAAAACAAAAGGAAAAACAATGTACAAACATGCACACTGGTGTAAAAGAGTGTTAGGAAGAAGTGTCTAAGATGGGACTACAAGTAAATGAACACTATTACTCAAGTAATTGTTAATATGACTGTAATTACCAATGTAATTATAAAGCATACCTATAGCATTGTTCAGAGTGTATTCATCCCGAAAGAAGTCCTGTGCAAGAGAGCCACCGACCTTCCCTGCTTCTGTGACCGCTGACAAGGAAAAAAGATAACAAAACAGGAATGAGGTGACACATTCCTTCTACATATCCTGATGATAAAACCTCTCCAGACCCCAATGACAGAGCCTTCTGCTTACCTCTGATGTCTCCACCGGCACAAAAGGCTTTTCCACCCGCTCCTTTAATAATCACAATGTCCGTCTCATTGTCATTTTCCCATTTCTAAAATCACCAAAAGGAAAAACACAGCAGAAAATTTACCAAAAATCTTCAAGTTGCTTTTATCCGATTGTATAAAACCAAAACTTTAAGTACTTAAATTCCATTAACGGCTACATGAAAGTAGCTGTTTGAATTCAAAAAGTGTGTACAAGGCTTTCATACTAAACACAAATAACTGTCTTAACAAGTCTTAAACGGGTTTATGAGCAAATATGTTTTACTCTAAAGAACATCAAGAATTTGACACAGTTGAACTAAAAACAAACTCTAAAGGCCAATTAGTGCTTTCCACATCTGCAAGGGTACACATGATGTAAATTTTTCCATCCACCCAAGCACCCCGAGGGTCCACGTGGGTCTGCGTCAAAGTGGTGCTGAAACTGAGTGTTTGGTGTGAGGACAGAACATATGTAGAGATCCTCTGTCATTCACACCTTTTTAAAAATCATCATTAAAAGAGTTGTAATTGAAGTAATCACTGCTGGACTTGATATTAGTTTTCATTTGCATATGCTTTCCACTGATGGAGCCAAAACACAGTAGAAGCTCCTCATTTCTCCAGAAATCCTGAGCTGTGTTCACACACTGCACGACACATCAGGAATAATCACTGACAGAGTGCTACAGCATTTCATATGAGAGGATGCAACCGGAAAAGCGGCAGAAAGACACGGCCCTACTGTAACATGAACAGAGCTCTGTGTGTGTCCAGTCTGCTTATTGATCTGTGCAGAAATCATGAATTGGACATTTTCTGTCCTTGCTACAGTTTGCATTTACCAGGCTTTCTACATACCTTGAGCTGGGGATAGATTTGCCGGGTCATGGTTTGGTTGAGGGCATTAAGGACTTTAGGTCTGTTCATTGTGATCACACCAGCTCTGCCCACTTTCTCCAGAAGAACCTCCGGTTCTGCATGACTTGACATCTGATGTACAACAGAGACAACAGGACATTTCTGCGCAAATACTTACACACCACAATAACTCAAAAAGAGCAGATGTGTGTAATAAAGTGAACAGAGTAACATCATTTTAATCATCTAGAGTCAAAGTATGAAAGTCATTGATGATGCAACATCACTTCAATAAGCTCCAAGTCAGATGGAGCGATACACAAACTAGAGAACAATTACACGACATTACTTTCATTAGAATAACATAAAACAGACGAGCTAGATTAAATCAGAACAGAATGTTTGATACTTTTTAAAAATTTGAATCTTATTCCACTCGGTAAACATTTACACTAAAAGAACCTACTGTTAAATAATCACAATCACTCATAAAATATGTACTATGACATAAGTAATACTCAAAACTGAAAGACTGCCATAACAATAAAAAAGAAAAGCAAACAAAACAACATAACAGCAAGTGTGCTTGGATTGAACTCAGGTCCAAGACACACATTATTTGTTTGATATAAAGCAATAAAATAAATGAAAAATACTGAACTCTGATGTCAGAATAAAACAAAACAAAACAAAACAAAACAAAACACCAGTTCACTGTACTTGTGGAGACAAGTACAATCTTCACTATCCATTAACAGCACAGTGCAGTGACAACACAACATGCTGCTAGATTTTCTCACCATGTGACTCTGGATTCGCTGCAGTCTGCAGATTGACCTCAGTCTGGAGGAGACAGAAAAGAAAGAGTAGTGGCAAGAATGAGTAACTTTACCAGCTGGACATCTAAAAAAACCTTTGACTTCACAGATTCAAAGTCAATTATCAACAGTTAAGTTGAAACACTAACAAACACCAACAAGGGGGATGTGGCACAGATACACAACCTTACCTTAAACCATGTCTTCCCCCTAACATCTAATGACTTATGTTACAGGGGTTCTAGCTCCCAAAAGGGAGGCGAGCCCCGCAACGAGGCGATATAACAAACAGCCTGTATCCTATAATTATGGCAGCGTATTGCTGCTACAAAGGGGGAAACGCTGAAGTGTTTATTGTAATAACAAGGTGTTTATTTTACTCCATAGGAAGATATTTCCATGTTATAATAAGATTTATCTTATAATAACAAGATATTTTCATGTTAAAACAAGATATATTCATGCTATTACAAGATGTAAATTATCTTTTATTATGACATGCAAACTTTTCAAGGTATAACGGGAATTGTTTTGCTATGACAATTTACTACTAACTTGTTATGATGTAAAAAAAGTCAGAACGCACATTATTATAATGAAAAACTTGCATTTGAACAAGGAAATGGTGTGAAGAGGATTATTTTTTAAACAATTTATTAAGTTCTACTTTATGGTGAGGTTGAGACATGGTATGAGTCTGGGGTTACGAAACATGATGGCTGATTTTGTGACAAGAACATGTACTTGAAGACGGATTTTAAAACGCATAGGGCTGTACAGAGGGGAGATTCCAACTCTCTCAGGTCAGAACAATTTCTTATTGATTGACTGGAGGGGCACATATGGCTCAATGGATGCACCCATTCCTTTTCTATACACCGCTTTATCCTCTGTAGGATTGCAGGGGGGCCTGAGCCTATCCCAAGGCCAACACATAGAAACAGACAACCAAGCACACTGACATTCACACATATCGACAATCACCAGTTAACCTTAAAATACATGACTCATCATAATATCATTCACAACGCCTCACAGCAGAATGTCACCATGTCATAACCCGAGCAGAGATAAATGAAACAGTGTTAAAGATCTTTATCTCCCCCTTCAAATGTCTTTTCGTAAAGATCTTACAACATGGGCTATCTTATTAGCATAACAAGAGAAACTTTCTATTGATATAACAAGAAAAAACATTTCTTGTAATAAAGTGATATGTTTGCATGTGATAATGTAGAAGAAAAAATCGTGTTATACCAATAAGCTCTTCACATTATTCGAACAGGACTTTTTCTGCTGTGTCACCAACACGCTGCTGCTGCAGGAGCCACGTTCACCTGTCACAGCAGGAATCACTCAGGTGTCAATGAGTACATAAAAAAACCACTGCATTCCTGCTGAGCTGCTTCCATGGTGTGCAAACTGACTTTTTAATGAAACTGAGCCACCGAATATTAACTTTAATCCACCTGTGCTTTCCCTGCTGGGTCAGGTAAAGGTGTAAAACTGCCTATAATTCAAACTGCTACCAGCGTGTGTGACTTTAACAGGCTCCATTGCTAACTTCAGTGCCACAGTAATGTCAGCTCATTCAGGACAAACACACCGAGCTGCACTGCATAACGTCGACACATACCTGTAAGCGGAGGTCAGAACCGTTAAGGACATTGTTATTTCGGACTTGCAGCGTGTGTAACAGCAGTAACTGCACTCTCAGGTACAGCCAGGTTGTCTTACGCTCTCCTCTGAAGTTTTCCTCGTATACTTCCGGGAAGAGGTGGCGAGTGGCCGCTGATTGGTGGTTGATCATGACGTACTGAGGGGCGTACTGACCGTAGAGGAAGAGTCGTGTATTGGCGCCACACTGCCCCCTACAGTCAGGGCAGAGCAAGCGCTGACCCCTGCTGTGTCCTCATTTTATCAACAGTTGATAAGAAAAATACTTTTTTTCCCTTCTAATGTTCAAATTAAACTTCCAAACTTAATGACTGGAGATTTGAACATTACAGACAAAAAAATGTGACAACAAATATTTGATTAAAGTTTTTGAAAGGCATATCTATCATGATTATTATAAAAAAAAGGT